AAACGGGAAAATTTTTATTCCGTTACACTTCAATAAAAACGTATTCAGTAGTTAAAGCAATTCACTGCATGTGAAAAAAAATTTTTTCTTTGCTTTTGTTTTTTTTTTTTTTTTTTGATTTTACATGAAACAAACATATCAAATTATGTCAACGACAATTGCGTGTTAAATCAAGAGTCAAGTGGCAAGTGAAAGAGGAAAACATGTTCAAATGCATATACAGTACTTGTGTGAGCAGCAATGTTAGCAACAATAGTCGACGAGAACATAAATTCGAGTATAAAAAGAAAGCAACGGACTTTTGCCAAAAGAAAAAAAATTTTTTTTTTTCTGAATCCCTGATACATCCCACTCTCGTAGCCATATATACCGATAGTCATGTCGCCATAGATAATGGTATCTCTTATGTGAATGCAAAATATCAATTGTGGCCACAACAATTTTTGGGTTTGCTATTCTTATTCAAAAAACAAAAACAAAAAAAACCAAGCAGAAAATTCTTTATATGCTTTTCGACAAAAAAAAAAAAAGAATAAAGAAAAAAAAGCAAGAAATATGAACGACATTCCCTTTACACATTTTTCTCTTAAGCTCACTTACACGCATGTAGTACATGTGTGTGCTGATAACTGACTTCCCCAATATTGCTAGCAATTGTTAGCCAAACGAACAGCAAATGTCATTTTTTGTCAAACTGTTTGCTTTAGCCATGCATTGTGCACATGCACGTACCCATACTTTCATACATACATAAATACATACACGCATAGACACCCATGCTCAGAGACACCATCAAGCAGTTAGTTAATCCTTGTTTCCAATTTGACATTAAATATGGTTGATGGTTATGTTCTGACATCTAAATTCCACTTTAGTGGTAATATTTTAAGCTGGACCAAGGCACGCGTATGCTTCTATATATACACAATGCGATGATATTCAGTTTTATTTTTCTTCAATAAAGAGCTTTTATCAAAATATTCGCATTCTTTAAATGCCTTCGAAATTAATATCTGCCATCATCTAGAGCACAGATTGACATATTACATCAAAGATAGCGTTTCAAATTAACAAAATTCATAGGATAAAAAAAGGCACAAAAATATGTAAAAATTGTTGTATCTCTACTGGAAAATAAAAAAAGATTTGAAAAAGATTTGAAGAAGATTTAAAATATATTTTATTGCATAAAGGAAGCAATAGTGGCGTTAGAGAGAATCTTGCCTTCAATTTTTACGTTAGCAGGTATATTCTAGTTCATATTAATCGAACCTCACACCCGTTTTTAATTATTATGGTTTTAAAAATTTACTCAAGGTCTCTGTACAAATTATTGACATATATACTGTAGACGTTTGCATTAATTCTCCGAGCATAGGAGTGGCGAAAAATCATCTCATATATTGGTTGTTATCATATACTTGAAGAGCATCCCCACTACAAAGTGCTATAAGAAACGACGTCTCTTATGATTTGTCACTTTCCACTTCATTAGAAGGACACGGCGAATTCGTTGTTAGACTTCTGTCAAATGACTTGTGTCCCTTTCAATCGTATTATTTTTTGGTATGATTCTGGGCAAGATGTTAAAACTTGATAACATTCTAACTTGGCATGAGTAGCCAAGTAGGTAGGCAGGCGACTACCAAGTCTGAATTCGCGAAATCGCATTTAAACGCTGTAGAGTTTACTTCCATCGTAGTTATAGTGAGTGCTCAGTCGGCGTAGGCATAAAAGTTATCGATTGGGTGCACAACCATTAAGCTACAGCCGCATCCGCCTCTCCTTCTCTTTATTCATTTCTTTCGAATCGTCACACGAATATTTTGAGTAATTGGTCATATAATAAAAATAAAAACTAAATGCCATACATATAAATCATAAGAAAAGCTCGTAGGACAGTAAGATGATTTTAACAAAAAGGCCGATATGGATGCAGACAATCAAGAGCAAGCGAAATAACCGCAAGTAAAAATTAGACAAAAAAAGAAAACGCATATAATAGTCGATCGAAAGCACTAGCAATTTAAGTCACAAATCTCACGAAATCTCTGCTGCCAAAACGGCAATACTCGGAAGAATGGTAAGAAATGCAGAAATTGAGAAGTTGAGAACACGTAGCCATGACGCCTCGCTAAAAAAAGCATTCACATCAATTTTGTTATGATACCTATTTCAAATATTTGACTAATTAGTTGAATTGTAAAAATTAAAAGCAACTGAACGAGTTCCTAAACCTCTCGTTGCTCACACGTTTTCCTAAGCATGCAAAAATCAAAATATCTAGTTTAACTGTCCCAAACTGCGATCAACAAATAAGCACAATTTTAGAAAATTTATAGAATTGTGTTGTGTAGGTAAATGCAGTCTTAAGTATCCCATAATCATCTCAATTGCGAGCTAATTTCTCAGTTAAACGGTAAATTTTTTTAAAAGACAAGAAATCTTAATATTCTCGGAGAGCACGCATCCCTTAGAAAGCACCAAACATATTAGCAAATATAATGTAAGAAAAAATTTTATAGATAGAAAAGATTCTATTCTATGAGAACTGAACTAAAACGTATTACTTTGTCACCTAAACGAGGGGCATGTTATTATAAATGTTTTAATATTTCTTTCAAAAGATTTATTATAACATTCGCGATAATAGGAAAGACGTAGCATAATAATTCTTTTTAAGATGAAGAAAAATTTCAACACATTGCTTGCTTCTTGAACGAAAAGCATTTTTTTTTTTTCTGTAGAGGGCAATAACCGTTATAAACTTTTTTAACCTTCGTCTATATCTTTAGCACTTAGAGCGCGAGAGAGGGGAAGAGAGAGAAAAAATAATACATACTTCCATAAGCAGGCAGACAATTTTTTGTGTTAAGCTAAAGAACAGCCACATTAGCAACAACAACAACAACAACAAAATTGTCTTAGTTAACCATTAACCTGTGCTACTTATCTACAAAGGACTTGTTCTGGCTTTGACGGCAAGGAAAAAAGTGTTGCTTTTATAGCAATATAATAAAAAAAAAAATAAAAGAATATAAAAAAAAAAAAAAAAAAAAAAGAATTAACTAAAAGCTACAAAAACAAACCGGCCGGTTCTTTAAGAGCACCTCAGAGTTCATGAATGCGTAAAATATTCGCATAATCACTGTGCAATAACAACAGCAACAAGAGAACAAGGGTGAAAGTTTAAAGACGAGAGAATGAGAAGTGTTATAAAAACAAAACATGGTATAAAGGCAGCTCATATTCAAAGCATTACAGCCGTTAATGTAACAAAAACAAGAGAAGAAAAGAAGAAAAAACGAATAATTGTTATTGTTGTTATTGTTAAACACTTCGGTGTGCACAGGTAGGTATAGTCTTCATTACGCAATGACCTGTTAACGCTTACAACCATTTTTTCGCCGTCACAAATGTTTCAACAGCTTTCCAACCTGTATATATCATGACACAATGCAATAACAATAACAACACCAGTAAGTAAAGATAGACTTCTCCTTAATACATTTTAAAAAGGAAGTAAAGCTTTCGATTCAGGCGAACATGAATTTCCTTTGCATTGTAAAAAGTTATAAATATTTACAAAAATTAATATTCACCGGTTATTATGTCTGCGAGTATAATACACTTGATACAAAATTAAAGCACTTCTCAGTTAAAAGAGATATATAAAAAGGAAAGCAAGGAGAAAGAGGAAAATTGCTTTCTATATATTAAATGAAGAATAATTAAAGTGGACACGGCTATATATTAAAATACATGTAAAAAGTCATAAGAAGCCTAAGAGGCATACACTGCAGCCGAAACAGATAAGAAGGCAATCGCACGGGTAAAGAGTAAGCAAAACGGCTGCTGGTTGATCGCAAAGTGGTTTTTTCTTGAAGCGAAAATTTTTGGTATTAGAAATATGCTTTATCCAACGGCTTGATTAAAAAAACCAAGAGACATCAAAATGACACAGGTCGATCTTTAAATATGCTCCGCTACCAAAAAAATTGATTATAAAGTACCACAAATTTTACATTGGTCAATATTAAAAGCTCGCTTTTCCGGAGTATCTTCATATTGGAAGGAGTTCAAAAAGTAAATTTTCATTGAGATATATTTAGAAAAACGATATTTTTTCACATAATGACACTTTCAAAATACGGACCTGTAAGGAAAATGATTGCAAACCTTGTTTGGTCCTAAACAATTTTGATAAGTGTTCGACGCTGGGATAAAACATGTCGGTGGAACAAATTTCGCTTTGATACTAGTGACAAGCATCGAACGCACAGACATCCGCCAAAACATAGTAAACTCCAGACATCTGCAACCACCCGCCTGTGATCTCAACACCACTATGTCTGAAATTTCAAACAATTCAATTTGCTCGCACACAGGACTGTCGCTAAAGTGAATTTATCTGCCTTCGCTACCGGCTCAGCTGTGCAGCTGTAAAGTGCTATGAAACGCGTTCAAGTCCTTTGGTTTGTCGATTGTAAATAACGGAGAATGTCATATTTTTCGCAATAGTTGGATCTGGGAAAATTAAAACTGGACTGTGTATGAAAAAAGTTGCCCACGCCTAATGTACTTAGTACAACACATGATATATGGCAAAAATAATTTGATAAATGCGACGCACAATAAGGTTAAAGATGTTTTCTCCCCTGACTCGCAGCACAACTAGCGAAAATTGTGAATATTGGACCATCAGTGTAAAAGTTTTATGCCCTTTTTTCATACACAAGACTTAGACGATCTATACCTGTCGCTTGCGGAACTTTTTCAAAATCAAGTTGCACTTATTGTTCGCTTTATCAGTTCATTTACTTATTCCGATTAACATTTTATTTCTCATTGAAGTATTTTAATTGTTGTTGCTATTGTGTTCGATATTGTACATGTTACTTAATGTATTCGCAAGCAATCGTGCCTTAATTCACAGATTCCGCATTATTAATGCATTGCTTAAATGTAACTCACGCGTATATCCATGTACATATACTTACCCACAACCTGCATGGTACCGATGGCAGTGGCTGTCGAGAATAATGGAGCATCTGCTGTTACTTCACACGAAAAGTTACCAGACAAACCAAAACCCACATTGCGTATTAACACTTGCGTTGCATTCGAGCTGGTTACCTAGAATTACGCATAAAATTAAATTAAGGCAAAAACGGCAAATTAAAAAAAAAAATAATTTTCTTTTTAATAAAATTGGTTTTAAAATGATAGTCAACCACGCTTCCTTTCAGTCTTCAAATTATCTTTAAAATAGATTCAATCTTCACCTATCGCAAGATGTGGGTAGTAATCATTACTTTGAGGAGCTTTTCAAAATACCACATGAGAGATAACAAATAGCACTATGGCCACCCAATATGAGAACGATATCTATAAAGTTTACGACTCAGCGTATATCGCAGGATGCCACTTCACTAGCCGTGTTCGCCACACGCTTTTCCCTCTGATTACCTGTTCAAGCGGTAAATTATTCTGACTCTAGATTTTTATAACAATATCAGGGAATAGCATGCTTTAATAGATAGCCGATATACGCTTTCGAGGCAAAAGCGAATCGCGGCCAAGTGAATTGCGAAGTAGATGCTGAATGGACAATACTTTGAATGAGCAAATTGTAATAATTTGTTCACCTTAAAGTAAAGAGCTTTAACGGAAGTTTCTCTGAAAGGTACAAGATCGAAGTTTTGTTGACAAGACAAAGAGCTAATCGGCTTAATTCACCATAAAAAAAGCTTGATTTTTTTTTAGCGCGTCTCCTTGCTACGCAAGGAACAGAGCAAAGGTCTCGTCCCAGACAGATCGTGACGGTTAGTTGATGGTGTCAAGTACTTGGTGATAAATACTTGCTGACAGATAACAGACAGACAGATAGGTAGTTGGTAGTTAGTGACAAGTAGGTAGTGGCAGGTAGTTAGCGAAAAGCAGTATTGATTGGTAAGTGGCGGCATGTAGTCGGCACAGGGAACTGTGATTTGCAATCACTGATAGGTGGACTGTGACAGATAGTTGAAGACAAGTAGCTGACAAGAGACACACCATCTGATCTGGTCCCATTTGTTGAGGTTAACTAGTTGGGGGTATGCAAATGACGAGGGGGCTTTAGCGCGGGTATATGGCGACTTGGAGCTGCTGGTACTTAGTTGGCGGAAAACGACATCTGCAGATAAATGACGAATAGTGGGTGACTATGAGCTGACCGCGCATACTTGCTGAAATTTAGCTGATGACAAAAGCGAAAGGTGGTCGTTGTTAGCTAGTTGCCAAAAGGTACAGGGGCGGAAGGAGGAAAGCAGTGACACACACTTAATGTTCTTGTCGTAGTTGGCGAAAGATGGCCGATGAATGCTTGTTGGTGGTAGGTGAGTCATAATAAATGTCAGATAAGACGTAATTAATTGGAGGACTTGTTGACAGCTAGCTGAGGACTAGCATTAAGTAGTAAATGTCAGATCACTATACATGCATGATTAATAATCGCTATGCACATTTTTAAGATAATATTGGCGTGTAGTACGGCCAAAAATGGCCGTTTTACACATACACCAATACCAAGTACTTAAAGAACATCCACCTCATAAGACGTAAGGTTTCCGTAAATAGTCCTAAGGATTTCGTCTTCTTAAAAAAAATAATTTTCTTCCGAATGAACTTAAAGGCCCAATTTATTTGCTTACTTTCACTCCGGTGGTCTGGAGAAGCACACCCGAATTTATTTTAACGATCGATAAGCAATGCGACGCTAGCTTATTCAAGGATGTAATATAAAAATATTTTCTAATTAAATTAAAAATTTTCCCTCCTGATAATAAATCGAAATAGTAAGTAAATTGAGATTTTGAGCATAGAAAAAAAGACTCCCACTTGTTTTCTTTTACTTTCGATGACTAAACTTCAATACCTAAAACCTAAGCTAAAAAGTAAGAAAGCACTTAAGCATATTAAAAAATATCTCGGAAATAAAAAAACATCAAAAATCCCTTTTTTTTAATTAATTTTGATTATTTTTTTATTCGAAAAACCGCAACAAGAGAAAACAATAAATTGTAAACAAACAAAATGTCTTTTACTGTGCACAGCACACACGTAAACGTAAAGTTTAGTTTGGCCACAAAACAAAATCTCAAAAACCTACCAACACCAACATCATGCATTCATTCATTCATTTACTTACCACCCATACGTGAACACAAATGAAACTATATATATAAACTTGAAATATAAATTAAAAATGCCGGAGAATTGAAACTTTGAGAAACTTTCAATGCAGACGAAAATGCAAATGTTGTGCAAGTAGAAAAAAAAAAAAAGAAAAAAGAAGGCAAAGAAAAAGCAAAAAAAAAAAAAAGTTAAAGGATGACATTGGCACCAAATACCTGCTTTCACTATAATTTCATTTTATACCTTTTTTCCAAAAAGGAGAAGAAAAAAAACATTCAAGAAGAAAAAAGTAAAAACTTTTTCAATAATTTACTGGATCCTTTTTCGGTTTCTTTGCTTTTTGCTCTCCCAGCCACCCACTTATCCACCTACTAGCATTTTGGGATTCACTAAGCAAAAGTTCTTCAGAGGCAGAGTGTTGCAGTTTGTTTTTGTTAGTTTCCTTGCCAGTCTCACTGGAAGGCAATATTAAGGACAACTTTAACGATATGCTGACATTATCGTTACAGAAAATGTACTTATTTATATACAGATCGCTTAGGTTTTTAGGTATGCATTCATTTCGTACATACATACATACATGCATACATATACACATACAAATATAAATGCAATTCAATGCAATACAATCACTCCTCTACTCTACTCTACGCTTGCCGCCACTGCTAGTCATCGATGTAGAAATTTAAATGAAAACTATTTGCATCTCTACATACATTTTTCTGTTGTATTTATTTATTGAATACATTGAAAGCCAAAGTTTTTCTTTTACTTTTTTTCATTCATTTTTAAAGCATAGCAAACGATCCGAATGCGATGAAAAAAAAAAAAAAAAAAAAAAATTAAAGAAAAATAAGTAAGAGAGAAGCGAATGTTTTTATACAATTTTTTGTAATCTATTAATGTGTTTTATGGCAACATTAAAATTGTTGTTGTAATTATTAATGCTAAAAAGCTTAAAAAATAAATATATTCTTAGCTTGCTTTTTAAATAAATTGCAATAAATTTTCATATAATATATCGAATTCAGGAAGTAAAACGAAAAAAAACGTATTGCTTTACTTAATGCTTCCTATTGAAGACTTTGTTAAAATGAAATGAAAATTTCATTTAAAATTGAAAAATATTGATAACGTAATAAAAGTCAAAAGACCTTCACTTTTGAACTGCAGACAACATGGGAGAGAGAAAAGACAAGTTTCTCCTAAAAAGTGATATGTGATAAAATACTGATTAAAATAAGTTTTTTTTAAATATAATAAATTGAAATAATCTCAAGAAAGATTTTTTACTAAAACAATTCTCAATAAGTTTCCGGTCTAATAGAAATCTTGGAATACTGCTTGCAACACAATATAATTTCTGGATAGTATCAATCTTTAAATGCTATCTGTCGAGATTTCATAACACTCCCAGCATTGGTTTACACATTATAACCGTTTTAGTGGCGCTACTTTTGTTATTTTCCAACTCAAGCAAAACTGCGAATTTCGTTCGTTGGTTAGGCGTTTGTTTCTGATCAGGAAGAATAGCGCCAATAGCCAGAGTTGGACCGAAAGATATTATTCGTGTATGTCAAAAAATAAATTTGTGGGTGTTTAGCTAATTTTAAGCGAAACCATATAGACACTGCTAAACACTCTGGTGGTCCAATATAACCAGTTGTTTCGGAAAACCTAAAAATGGACACATAATCGATTTGGAAGACGGAAAATTGAAGTTACGTGAGATAGTTGGTAGTCAGGCCGCGATGTCAGACGGCGACGTATTAGGCCATATTGAAATCTATCCCCGGCTCTTTCCGCGGGATGGTGTTGATGCCTATATATCGGGCAACACTCACTTGATTATTTCAAGCGAGGACGTGACATTTCAGCTTACATTTCTTGTGTAGATAGTCTTTGCTCGTGTAGAAAGTTATACTGATTTGAAAAGGATTGGAATATCTGAAGAAATACACTATGTGATACTATTTTACTATAAAAATAATAAAAACGCTGCAAAAAAAAAATAAAAATTTTGTAAAGTGTACGATGAGAATGCTGTGAGTGAACGAAATATCTTGGAGTGGGTTGGCGGAAATAGTATGGAATATCGCAAGTGGTGGAGTAAGACAGGCATGCAAGTTGTCAGGAAATAGGGGAAGCACTAAACATCAACCGCATCAGGCTACAAAATCAAGCTCGTGACCGCGGTAAGGCCGCAACCACTTTTCAATATGACTCATTATTTAACATTTCGCATGAATATTTGTTAAAACCACGGTCGAAGTTCGTGACACATTGGTTCACTTTTGTGAATTAAGTGCTAATTATCCAGAGCGCTGTTTGGCGAATTAAAACGGATCTCTCCATGCGTAATATGTGACAATGCATGAAAAATGGATGGGTTCAATCAGTCGAATGAACAGCAAAGCTACAAAAAACTAGTATCACTGAAATCTCCGTAACATGTTAAGTAATTGTCAAAATGTCATAAAGTTTTGACGTCTATCGTGTGAAGATTGACTATACAAAGAAATCATATGGGTCTGCCAAGAATGTTGTAATATTTGCGTCAGACCAGCGCCTTATTGAACGATGTGAAACTTTTCTCCTTTCTGATTCGAAGCCATTTAATTCAAAATTTTATTGACCTTAAAATAGCAAATTTTTTTTTTTTTAATTTCAGTGTAAAGCTGCTCACTATCGAAACACATTCTTATAACTTATTTTTCAAACGATTATAACAAAAACCCGTAATTAATTAGATCGAAATCAGGAGAAGCGTTTTGGTAAAAATCTTTACACAAAATATTTTTTGATGGATTATTTAAATAGTTCGTAATCGAAACTTTCTAATTCTTCTATAAAATCTCGAACAAATATTATCGTGTACTTTGTTTGCTGGGATGAAACATTCTAATTAAAAAAACAATAAATAAACACTAAAAATAATCTAAACAGATAGCACAGCATTAAGTAATGGGAATTCATATTGATTTTTAATAGCTATCGTTACTATGGCTATACGTAAAAAAAAAAAAAAATTCCGACACTTAACCTATTTTCTCTAAGTAGACTTACTTTCTTGTAAGTAGAACAAGGGCTTTATGTGAAAACGTATGCATGCTTAAGCTTGAGCGTCTACGTGTAAACGAAGAAAATTTCTTAAATCGTTTACGTGAAACATGTGCAGGCACAAGGTCATGGACAGACGGACGGATATGGCCACTTGAGACAATATTCGTAATTTGTGAAATTTCCGAAACTTATTTTCTCGGGGTGACCTATAGATCGTACAGTTTCTACGCACGAAGGGCAATAATTAATTTTTAACCTTAACTGCTTTGTAAACGTGTAAACGGTATCTTAATGTATACATAGGGACGCCATTAAATGCTAAAATCATTTGCATCCATTCTGAATCGATCAACTAAGCGTGCTTATGTTTGCACAATTTGAAGTTATGACGCGTGATATATAGATCAAATCGTCGCCAGGTTTTGATCTATCAAACATTAATTATGGAACAGCGCACACTTCACATACTTTCGAATATGTCGAAATTTTTCGCTAAAGCCTCAGTTTGGCAATTGAAATTTTACGTACTATAGTGCCAACTAACAATTGGTGTAGTGATCCAGAGAGGCGAATTGCTTAACCTTTTTGCAAAAATTCAAATCGAGATAAGAAATGAGATGAAGATGGTTGTTTCAATACTTGTAAGTAGCGAATAGTCTCTGGCGTACGTTTGGAAATTGCATTCAAAAACGCTTTCGATTAACAGGACGGTTTGTGCGCTTGCGAGAATTAGCCAAATAGGCGAACAATTAAGTATCTTTTGAGTAAATCACGAGTTTACCAGATAAGAAAATTTTATTTGGTTAAGTCCGAACTTTGTCTGCCCGTCACATTTATCTTAAAAGAGAATAAAGCAATTTTTTTATGGGTAATGAGCGAAAGGCGTTTGGGAAATATTTCCCGTTTACCTCGCAAGGTAGGCGCGTGTTTTGGCCGATTTCGCCCTTTTTCAATACTAATGTGCGTGTAAGAGCTTCTCATGCTTTTGTTGCATGTTAAGTCGACATCTTCGTTTTGCCAGCCAGATGAATGGTACAAGCAAGGACAGACAGAGAGACGGACATGATTAATGCGATTGACAATTTCGTATTGATTGCGAATATATACAAACCGCATGGGGTCTCTATAGCTTTCTTATGGATTTTTCAAGCGATTTGACAAAGTGGCCAAAACCCCACCCTTCGTCGACGGGTATGGAAATCCACTTTATAATGTACGTTTGTTCTTGAGGCAAAAAATATACGTAGTGCGGCCACAAGAGAAGAAGAAGAAGAAGACTTCTGTGGAGAATTTTGCAATTACTTGGTGCTTTTAGTGCAATTAAAAATTCATGTTTCCGCTAAGTGGGTTCAAAATGAAGCCGCAACGTATTAGAACTTTACGCATGGAAGAGTAACATAATCGAATATTGTTTAAGCGTTGATTGTATGGAACCCCTAATGGAAACACTTATGGAAAAGCAACATTCAACATATTTTCCATAGCCAATCTTGAAGTGTATCTTTTGGATGCCAAAAACTACACGTACTGTGTAAATAAAAATAATTTAATCTTTCGAAATTCTCGTCTTTGAGAAATTTTGTACAACCTCTAATAAATAATATAATAAAAGTTTATATAAAATTGTTTATAGTCCAATCTCTTTCACTCTTTATATAGTTCATTTTTGCTCTCCTTGTCCTCTACAACTCTTTTAAGAAATATAAACTTTCCGCTGTCGTTTTAAGCTTTGCTTCGTTTGAAATATTTTCAAACTTTTCCCTGACGTTAATGCCTTAAATTCGTTTTTTCTTTGGAAGCACTTACATAGCAAAACAAACAAATGGGAAGAGAAAATGAAAATATAAAAGAAGAGTGTACGCAAACACACATGCATATTCAATCTGTTATTTTACTAATTCAAATTGTCGAAATTTCTGCCAATAGTAGTGTAAGGGGGAAAAGAAAACAAAACAGAAAATCTGAACAAGTAAGAAAATTATATTCGGTCGTGGCCAAATCTCTTATACCCGTCTGCGTTATCCTAACAGAGATTTAAAAAAACGAATGGAAGTAAATTTCCATACTCTTTCATAATAGGTGGGCGCGGCTGATTTTTTTCTTTTTTCAGAATAAAAGTAAAAATTTATCTTGTGTGCCTGTTGTAGTTTATGAGCAACGGCAATACGTATGTGGGCGGCGTGGTCGTGTTCTTTGAACTGCCCGCACCACTTTCAAACTCTTTTGCAAATTTATAGGAGATTTTTTTTTGTGGGCGGCAGATTTAATACCGTACATACTACAGAGTTTTGCAGACAGGCAAGCGTGCGAACTAATAGACGGACATGCATGCACGCGCTCCGAATTTGAAATTGGCCAAGAGTTTGTATATGTTATGGATATTTCCAGCTTGCTTCTACGCGTTATAAAGGTATAGACAAGGGAATTAAATTTTGATACACCACAAGAGGCGTGGTCAATATTCGTTTTTATAGAAGTGCTACAACATCAGCCGTAGAATATTCATTCAACTATTTGTAGATTTATCTACTGTAGTTTATGTAGGTTATGAGCCGAAAACCAAGTTTGTATTTCGTTTAGAAAACAGAGGTGTTTTCAGTTTACATGGTACTGTAGGACGTGTCTGTCGACCGTTTAGGTTTATTTTTAGCACCGACCTTTGTGCAAGAGCAACCAATGTTTCTGCAAAAATTTGGGCAGTTATCTTCAATTTCGCAGGCAGAAGAATGTTTATCGCGGACATTTCGTAAACGGACACACCGGCATGCTTAAATCGATTCAGAATTTTAGCGTGGCAAAGGATTTGACAAAATGGCTTTATTTGTCATCCTTCGGTGATGTGTATAAAAAAAAAAAAAAAAAAATTCTAGAAAAATAAACAAAATTCGGATATTTACAGGTTTTTCAAATTAAATTGGATATATATATGTACACATGTTCATATATCTAACTATGTATATCGTCATATATACACATATATACCTATTCCAATATAAATTTGTGCATATATGTACATTAAGATACGCTAGTTCGTATATTTGTTTGTTAGTTTTAGTACTCACATCAACATGTATGCCAGGAAAGGGGAAAACTTTCGTATTAGGAAATTCTCCAGGTGTATAACGATAGAACTCCAATTGACCGCGATAAAATTTTGCCGAATAGAGCGGAGCCCCCTCTAAATCATACATGCAACGTAATATCGCATGTTGGCCACGTCGTACAGCAGGTGGTTCAATGATTAAATTGACATTCCGTAAAGCACCGTCAGCGATATCTAGTTAGAGTAGAAAAACGATGAGAAAAAAAGAAAAGCAAGGAGAGCAGATTAAAATAAAATAAAACACTTTTTTATTAAAACTTTGAATTTGCAACAAATGAACAATTTCGTGTGACTGTGTGTGTGTGTGTGTGTGTGTGCGGATATGTATGCTTGCCTAATATAATCAGTTGTGAAAACTGTGTGAAAATATTTCCACCGCCAGAGCGCAGCAGAAAAGCTCAAAATACAGTTATTAACACATATTCACGCCATTTAAACATACTTTTATTTAAAAATATTATCAAAATTTGTCCTCATATTTCTTTCCTACACTTTCGTACATAACAATTTGCATATTTTCATGCTTAGTTTTGAACTGAGTAAATATATATATATATATTTAGTGACAAATAAGTGTGTTTATGGATTTGTTGTTGGATTTTAGATATATATGTTTTTATTTATTTATTTTTTTTTTTTTTTGTTGATTTACAGCAATAATAACAAAAACAACAACGTTACCTATATATATGTATTAAATGGAAAAATAACTTTCTTCTTTAGTTGTACCTCGGATACCCATCCCTGCCTGTAAATTAATATAAAAATGTAAGCAAAAATTGTTCTCACTGGAAGTATATGAAAATATTAAACGGGAATATGTTTATATTGACCTTCTAGAGAACTTTGACAATTGTTATCACAAAATTCTAGATATATAGCCGCTAAAGGTTCAAATTTCCTAATAAGAATCCCATGAAATTTTCCAGTTTTTAACTAACAGCGTTCGTGATGCTAAATGTAGCACCCAATGGTTGTACTGATGAAAGTGTTACTAGCACGATAAAGTAGTGTTAAGATGTGATTACTATTGATAGTGCTAATAGCATTATTAATATCGTGGACGTTAGCAGTAGTAACTGATATTATTAGTTGTATTTGCTTTGTACCAGAATTAGTAGAAGTAACGTTAGCTGAAGTGTATAGAACCAGCAATAGTAGAAATATGTAGCAGCTGTAGAAGTTATAGTAATAATGCTGTAACTAACTAGTAATAGTGTTACTAGAATTAATTAATAGCAACTATAAGCAGGATTAGTGAAATAAAAAAACGAAAAAAATATGTAAGAAGTAAGTAAACCTATCGTTTATAGACGCATGTAACATAACAACATATAGTTACAGTATTGATTATAGTAATTGAAGTGGTGGAAGTTGTAGTAAATAGTAGGCTAAGCAGTAAAAAGCGGTAGTAGTAGTAAATAGAAGTCACATTAGTAAAAAAAACATAACTGTAATATTGTCAGCAGAATTGAGTAGTACTAACAGTAGCAGAATTACGAATATGTAATAGCAGCAGTAAAACTAAAATGTAGCAACAACATTAGAAGTAAGTTGCAATAGTAATGGAAGTAATAGTATTTCTTGCAACTTAATTTTCGAAAGTGAATTGGTTGTTTAAACGGAGGAGATGCGAACTGAATTTCAGCGTTGTGCTGTATTCTTCTAAAACTAAATGCTTCCGATGTGAAGACAGACGAATGATTAAATTGAACTAAAAATTTGTGTTGATTAACCATGAAATTACTCGTAAAGCCATTTATCATATATATTTTGGGGCAGTAAAAATAAGTGACGGTATCAGCGTTAGTGGTAGTAATTATTTTATATTCCATGTTCGGTTTCAGTTCTCCAATACACATGCGTATTACAATTTAGGTATAAAATTAGTAATTGTAGCTTTTAGTGTCAGCTCGTTTTCGAACATAATTAGTTGGTCTAAGCAAATGAGATCTGATCCAGAATTGAGCCAATCTTTATTCTTATTTTATCGCTTGTGAAAATTTTAATAGTAGAAGGACACACGGACGGAAATAATTTAATCGATATAGAATTTAATGCTAAGCACTTAACGGCATATGTGATGCATTTTTTCATACGTTACAAAGCAAACAACAAATATAATCTGTCGTTCCATTTTGGTGATATCTGTAAATATGTTTTTATAATATATATAATATGGTATGTATGTGTCCAGGCGTTTATGGATTAAATTGCTTTTGTTTGTATTTTTCCACATTTAGTCGGACTAACAATAACAGGTAAACGGACATGTATCCACATATAAATATATATACATATATATATATATATATATATAAATATTTTAACATATTGTTATATATACGATCTTAATTAAAATATTGTCCATAGAATTTTTACAAATAACCACACCTCTTATACTCTCGTCGTTGTATGTGCACATAACGTTAGGTCTACGTAAAAACAACATGTGCATATACACACATCGTACACATCCACGTACGTGTAAGGAAAGAGATTAGATTTTAGGTAATGGCTTCTAACACATATGCATTCACATCTGACAAATGCATATCTACGTTGTTGCTTATGACCACTTGTAGGAATAGCAGACCGATGCACATAAAAATTTTATTTCATCTAACAATTCATGTAAATACATGTATGTGTGGTATGTAAGTTGTTCTATATCCAATACAAAAAAATGCAGCTTTTTAGGGATTTATCAATTTTATTGTTATTGTAGTGTTTTACGTGCATCTATATATGTAATTATTTGCACTTGCAGGTGCTTTATATGTATTCCTTGTAATGCGTATATCACTTTAAATGTTTTAAATATTAATTGGAAATAAAATAAATAAACAATTAAAAATGTTACAGTGGGTCACGTCCAGCCATTAAATACCCTACATCACTTCGCTTGATACAGATCTTCATAAAACAACTTTTCATAATCAAGCTTTGTATAGGAAGCGCCCGAAAAAATTGTCCGATTCGAGCCATTTTTAATAGCGTCCATGGGAGAACGGTACACGTTAGAGTACCAAATTTCATCAAAATATCTCAAAATTTGCGACCTGCAGATTAAACACAAGAAAACAAGACGGACAGGCGGACAGATAAGCTTAAATCATCTAAATCAAAATCACTGTGTCAATCGATTGATATAATAAAACCTGGGTTTATCTCAAGTTGCATGCATCCACACGGACTTGATTTACTTTTGCATCACAAGTAGTGGAGAGTGTAATAAAATGAAAAAGTAGACGAACAATGAAAGGTCTGCACTCAACTTCTACCATTCTGCTGTTAATTTGTAAATGAAGCCTTAATCGAGATTTTAATTTCAACGCTTGAAAATTATGTTTCTGAATTGTATTCACTTGGACACTTTGAGCAAGCAGGACCGCATTAAGGTGATATTATTCAGGCCTAGTCTTACAAAGCCTTTTTATATACGCACAGAAAGGGTTAAGCATTCTTCTTATGAAGTAAGACATCATAAATTTCAATTCTCTTAAACGTCATCTTTAGTTGGATGGGAAGAGATTTCAGTATCTTTGTGAAGAGTATTACCTTCAAGACTGCGGAGTTTTGTTTTTGGGCACGAGTAAGAGCAGAACAACTAACTGAGTCCTTTGATTTCATACAAATCCAAATCAGCTTCTTTGCAGTAAACCTAGCACCAGTACATACTGTTATGCTTGGATGATCGCCATTGTTATGTACAACCTTTAATATTTGAATCGTCGCTAGGCAGATTCTAATAACCACATTACATTCCTTATCGAATTATTCGGGACATCCTTGACTATATTTTCGCTACGCGCACTTCCGTTATATGATTTCATCGATGGAAAGGGCCATTCCTTGTATTCCTTCTTGAGTATTTATTTCCTCATATATGATTTCGATAAAAAATTTTATTCGTTGTAAAGGACACGACAAATCTCACATACCTGCTATGAATGAACGAAAAAGGAAAATAACAATAAAAACAAAACTTTTCTACATATTTTCCATCATTATATCAATAAAAAACACTTCAGCTTCACACATAAAGAATTTCCTATAAATAATATATTTACAAAAAAAAAAATGACTGCACAGAAATATATTTATGTCCTCAAAAAAAAAAAACAAATTTATTTAGAATAAAAGCATCCAAAACAAAGAGTAAACAAAAAAATGATTTACTTTCATATTCATGACAAAATCTTGTAAGCTTAAGTATGCTTGCATTTTATTAGTTAATGGTTTGATTTTGATTTTGAGCTACCCGTAGTACCAGGTACGGTGTAGAAAGCAATATGAAGCACAAAATTATACGAACTACATCTATGCGTTAGACTGTCCCCTAATCGGGACAGTGTTCTTAAACGTTTGCGTACATGTGCTTCGCCTATTTTTCTACGGTGTTCAGAATCACTGTACGTTTACGAGGTGAGGGTGAATAATTTATGAGATGTTTTACGGTTTACGTGTACGTAATTATTAGAAAGTGTGTTTTCTGTACTTTCCTTCGCTTAGCGACGCGTTCTTATCTATTTCGTATCACACAACTTTTGGATTCCGATAGAGCGGACATTGATTGAATTTCTTCACTGTAGTCACGTCATTCTTATTGGCTTGCATACTCCCCTCCTTTCTCTCTAATTCGGTCAACTTGCATTTCAAAACAACTAACACTTCCAACGCTTCATATACTTGAAAACTCCTAGTAAATCTTGGCCACATCCCGAGTATATACTTGCAATACCGTATCTACCGTATCTACTGTAAGTCCGTACTTATAGCGTTCCAAGTACTTACATTCAACATCCGAACCAAGTTCTTACAACACATACACTTGCAACTCCACAAGCAATCTTCATTTCTGAAATTTTACAAGCCTTAAGTGCTTTTGTTCAACACTCCAAGAACATATTTGCAGTGCACCTCACCTGCTTAGCTAGAAGGCGCTTCCATCATCTTAAGTAACTGTTTGCAACACACCAAACATATACTTGCATCTCGCAAGTGTTTGCAATAATCTCAAGTAAGCATAACAAACCCAAGAGGGACAATCCTACAGAATTTGTGGCAAGGGTTTAACGTGGGTTCCTGCCTGTAAGGCTTAACCCCACGGTGGCCCAAACCACTTTTTAAGCGTACTACGCCCCCTGGCGAGTTAGACAATCCCCACAGAG